CGTAAAAATATTATTATTTCATGAATTGTTCTAGGGTCACTCATTACCAATATATTGTCCATATTTTCTATGTGGTTAAATATTTCCAGGTGGTAGTTATCATGGTTTAACACGTTGACGCCGGCGTGACCCACCGGTGGGTCACGGCATTATTTGAAACGAGATGGAATTCATTTTTGACTACACCACTGGTTGGGTTATATCTTTTTCTCGTCTCACCTATACAATGAGTGTCTTGCATCTTTGTCACCAAATGTGTCACTCAGATTACATATTATAATAAATAGTGACCGACCGAAATTTCAGTTTCGGCTTCAATTTCGATTTCGGCCAAAAATTGGATGAAACTTGTGGCAGAACCAAAACTCAATGTTCGTAAAATATCGTGTGTCGTGGGCTAACTCGCGGCTAAGTCGTGGTCGTCACTTGCCATCTCAGTTTGCACATAGTTTCGGTCGGACTCTAAAGATAAAGGCATTCATTACAAAGAAAATAAATAAATGGCGACGCAACTGCAAAAACAATCGCTTTTTGATACAGCAATGCATAACCACCAGTGGCGCACAGCTGAATTAATTAGACGGAGTTGAAAATGCTCAAATGCCGCCCAATGCGACAGACACCCAAAAACCGCGCCGGCGTCAACGTGTTAAATCATTGTTAAAATATGAAACTAAAATCGTTGAAGTAATAGATTCCAAGTATAATATTTCGAAAATTATGTTCAAACATTTTTCTCCAGGGGAATTTATGGGTAAAATGAACAAATTCCCATTGGAAAATTTACTTGTGATAAACAGTATGAATAAATTAAGTAAAATCATTTTTGTTCTGTAAAAATAACACAAAATCTGAACAAAACATTACCAAATGTCGAACATGAAACAGTTCGTGAGAGAATATTATATGAATACTTGTATTCTCTGCTTTTATAACACTTATTAGTGAATAATTTATTGTTGATAACATTTATTATGAATACAATGCATTCTCTAAACTATACCTTGTGTATTATTAATAAATACATTAAATATAAACGATTTATACTTCTATAAACTACAATTTAAAAATAACAACTTAATACTCATTCCGATACTCATTTTCATTTTCATTTCTATTCTCATATTGTTTTTTTCCTCGTCTTGTCTCAAATACAAAAGCAATACATGCTAAAACAATCCCCAGAAGATACAACAAAAAAGCAACGAGGATATTATCCAGTGAAATAGGAAAAAACTGTCCGGAATCAAAGTCTTTATACACAGTCGACGTGATATTCTTTCTAAAATGTTCCATGAGACCAGTTTCTGTAATGGCCATGATGTATCTGTCAACGCTTTGTTTTATAGGCAACCCACGTTGCAACACCATCCAATTATAGAACGTATTCATCGATCTCATGACATACAGATCTAAAATTTTGTTTTTGTCAAGATACATACCCATCGTGGCTATGGCATATTGTAATCTTAAATTGGATATAGCAGAAATAACATTTCTCTGTGTTACAACCAGGTTGGAAACTGGTAGAGTATCTGAATATTCTGTTATGTTCCATCTCTTAACTATTTCAATACTGAACGGATCCGTTTGGAATGTGAACATGTATCTTGCCGACCAAACACCATAAATTTTATAATTACTATTGACGACATCTTCAAGAGTTTTAATTTGTTTCTCATATATAGGGTGTACCAGATATGAGATTAACGTACTTTCAAAGGAACTTGAAAAATAAACGCAAATAATATCCATGATAATACTAGTATTCTTTTGAGGTTATTTATAGGTAAGTTAATGCCATCTGTGAGCACCACAGAGAACATATCAAAAACATTCAATGAAGTCACTTAAGTCACTTTGATCATCCAATATTACACTTTGCAGTTTTTGAAACAGATAATAAATGATCACGAAGATAATTATCGTACAACCGAAGATTAACCAAGTCTTAGGTTCGAATATATAGGTTATGTATGTCCACACTGGTAAAGGTTGTGCTTTCGGGGCTAGGAGATGAAGATTTGTATATAGGTAGTGTTCGGATACGTCAAAGTACCAATGAACGCCTGCGGTTGCAAATATTTGACCAAACATTATATCTGCTTCTCCGTTGTAGAGATTATCATACATACAACAAGGCAGGTGGTTCCTTTTGATAGGTCCGCTATCTGTATAGTTGTGATCCAGATATTTCACGGTGAAATTTACTTTCAATCCAATATTTTCGATGATCAAAGGTTCTAATCCTCGATTTGTGGGGCTTTTGACATCGACAATGAAGGGTTCTACTCTCTTAGTCGCCATTACTACAAAGGGACAGCCATGAAAGTTGGTTATCTCCCTGGTTAGCACTTGTAATAGCTCTGTTTTATTTTCACAAGAGTTTAGTTGTCTTGTAGTTGTAAGACTGCATTGATTTGGTGCGAAGTCATTTATAATATGAAGATTATACTCGGAATCTATGATAATCACTTTGTAAGCGTAGACAACCCAAGTTGCAGATCCTATTTTGTTGATTTCATTAACAGGACCTGAGAAAACGATGAAATATTTGCAGTTATTGTTGAAATTTATAGATTTTCGCCAGTTTTGAAAGAATTGTGTTATTGTAGACACGTTTTGAGCGATTACAATGACTGATTGAACATTTAAAGGTGCTTCCATGTCGATGACATGAGTTGGATCATAAAGTAATATTTCGTTTTGTAGTGTAGAGAGGTAATTTATGAATGTTTCGCTAAGTATATAATCATCTTTCAAAGTTGATATGAAAGTTGTGGCTGTTTCGGAACGCAAAATGTCAAAAATTATTTCCAGGCATGGATTTTGTCCTGTGTGGATTTCTTTAAGAGAAATTATGTTCGAATCAACATGGAGGATTATACTTGTTAAGAAAAAGATGTTTATGATTGAAAATAGCGACATTTTCGTATAGAAGACGAGAAAGAACTAACAACTCAATTTTCGAAGACTAGAGTTTAATATTTAAATAATATTACTATAATAATAATAATAAAATAAATAAAATTAACTATTTTCTTTGTTTCGATCAAAATAACAAATAAGTTTTTTGTTTACTTTGAACTTTGAATACTTTGAAGACAGTTTAAACACTAAAATTACAATAATTTATGCATTTTAAGTTAAGTTATTATAATATCAACTTTGTTCTTGTAAAAAATAATTTTTCTAATTTTATTGCAAATTTTATTCGTTTAATCCGTGTTTAAGCAATATAAATGTTATTTTAATTATTAATATACTACAATTTTATGAAACAATGATTGTTGTGTAACGTGCACCTAACTATTATTAATCTAACCTCAAATTTGTACCAAATAATCCATCTTTATCCCTATTTAAACCTGTATTATATTTATCTTTTGATCTAAAATGCGGCAACCAGTTCTACACACAAACAATGTCCACCAATAAATTCTATGCATTCCCGTTTACCCATTTGAAAACCCGTATAACAAGAATATTAATAATTCAAATACTATTTTTTATGTCATCACGTAAATCACCACTGTATTTTTTTTATTATCCCTAGTAATATTATAAATGCGAAAGTCCTGATGTTTGTTACACTTTCACGCAAAAACTACTTAAGGGGTATTCTACTCTAGATGTTTCAAAAATCGATTTTATTTTTTGTTTGATATTTTCAAAGTTTAACTATTCAAGAATACGTGTACAAGAGGATTTTTCAAAATTTAAATTATTTTCCGAAATATAGCCGTTTTGGTGACGCGGCATCCATACTGGTTCGCATTGACGCGAAACTTTAAACGTGTTTTTCTCGAAACTGTATTTTTCGAGACGGTACCCACGATTTCTCAACTTCTACTGAACCGATTTACTTGAAATTTTTACAGAGTCTTCTTTATAGACTTTTCTTTAAGATGAACTACGCTTATCCCCAAATTCCGATTTTAAATATTCCAAAAAATCTAGAATATCAAAAATAAGGGGAGAAAATCACTATTTTTCAAACAGTCGCCATTTTGTGAAAAACTTTTTTCACTTGTCCGTAGTTCATATGATTGCGACATTATTCTAGATTAATAATTAATTATTCTAGATTAATTCAGATCACTTGGAGGGCTAAAATCATGGGTTCGGTCACCTGCCAATTTTTGGGACCTCCACTTCATCACCTGCTGGAATTTAAAATTTTGAACTTTTTCAGTTTTTTTTTTGTATTCTCAAAACATTAATAAATAAGTGTTAAAAAAATGGATAGTAAAAATATTAATTGATTTTTTTTACGGCCTTTCAAAAATCACATGAAATTCATGCCTCTAGAGTAGAATACCCCTTAACAGATCATCATGAAAATTTGTACACATATTCTTAGTGGTCCCCGAATGGTTATAGGCTACTTTTATTTCATAAAAAATTATTTTTAAATAAAATAAAGAAATTGTTTAGCCAATAATACCTCTGCATCTGGCTATTTGACTACTTTAACGCCATCTAGCATTCCAGCAATGAAGCTCAAACCTAAGTACTATAGTACCATCACACTGTATTATCACACTGTATTACCGACAGCTACATCAACATCAAATCAATTGACTACACTATGGAGACTGTTCACTATACTTCCATAGACTATACTTTCAGCCATTTTAAACTTCCCGCTATTCTACTTCATTGTTACTTCTTCTGTGACTACATACGCGTACGGAAACAACTTCATTATTTTAGATATTCGCGAGCGAAGTCGCGGGTTAAAGCTAGTTCTTTATAAATTAATAAAAATAATAAAAATTCAACATTAAATTACCTCAAATCTCAAAAAAAGCTCAAAAAAGTAAAAAAACACATTTTGATTTTCCACAAAATTCATAAACCGCGCCGATAAAGTAGATGTTATTCCAGCATGACGTCGATTTTCTCGCCGCCGCCGCCGCCGACGCGTGCGTGCTGGCCCGCGCACGAGTTTTCCCGCACACTTACACAAACCCATCCGCGTCCGTGCACATCCTGGGGGAAAACGACCAGTGATGTGCAATGTGTCGGGCAGGTAGTGCGTGAGCGTCTCGTTCAACATGTCCGCTGTGCGAACAAGTGTTGCGCGCACGAATCGAACGCACAAAACAATCACATCCGCCAACGCCACAAGCCATCTCCTCGGTGAAATATATTCAATGTTAATCTAGGGCGGTGTACACTCACAAACAGCCTGCTCGTAGCAGAAAAGTCCTTGAGATGTGAATAAATGGGACACGACTGAAAATTCGATTGTGGCAAAATCGGTGCATGACGTTATGCAAATATTTGCTTCCATCGTCTGGGAATCGTCTTTCAACACGCTGGATTTAATCGAATCGCGGTGGGAATTATAAATAGCATCCAAGTAAACTGTTTTCGCGGTTGACCAGCGTCAACATGTGCAGCACCAGCGTGAAACGTTCACAAAACGCGTAAAAAACGCTCGCAACACGCAACTTCTTCAAACAATCATCTACTTAAGCAATGGTTAATTATCCAATGAATATTTGACGAGGATACGTTCATGAGGAGACGTGAATTCATCTGGTGCATTAATTATGAAAGGTAACCTCAAAAAAACACAAAATAACCTCAAAACACACAAAAATCTTAAAATAACCTAAAATTGCATTGCATAGTGACACAATGGAAGTCGAGAGTAACGAGACGAACGCAACCAACACGACAGCAGCGGATTTAAAAGAATGGATGCGCAAGCAACAAGAACGCATTGACTTCTACGCCACGTACGATGTAATGACAGGCGTGCGGATAGCCGCCACACTCGGAGGATTCTTCGGCCTGATGGTCATCCTAGTCATGTACAAATCAAAATCAAAAACAGAACGCGCATTGGAGGATCCTAACCTCGCAGCTGCGGCTGTAGCTGAAGCAGAGGAAGAAGAAAGACAAATCGCTGCAGCCCTCGAAGCAACAGCCTATGAACAACTAAACCCACAACAAATCAAACGCTCTCGGAGAAGTCTGGATACTTCCAGTGTCAGCCCGAGGTGGATCCGCAACACAAAACGTTTCTCATCAATTGCAGGTTATGCATCACTAATGGACCCACCAATACGGTTATCTTCGAAATTACCATGTTCCATTGATGAGGATTCACCAACTGATGACGGGAGAGTGTTATATGATGATATTTATACAAGTTGTTATGAAACGTAAGTAAATAACCTTTAAAAATATTTTTTTGCGTTTTTAAATTAAGGTTATGTTATTTTTAGACATTTGGGTGTAAACATACCTAATCGACGTGCTAGTAATGTAACTTGTTCATCCTCGGGGTCTTCTTACTTGGAACGACGTGGGTCTTCGGTTATGTTGGGTTTACCCCCAATGCCAAGTCATAAACACCAACATCTGCAACAAATGCGACGTAGGCAATCCTCACCACTTCCCGAGCAATACGACTTTTACTATCCGATTGATATTAGGGTTATACAACCCACTCCGGGTGGGTCACCTTGTGGGAGTGAGCGGGCTTTGTATGACACTGTTCCATATCAACGACAGCATTTAACTCCGCGTTTGGCCCCGTTGGCGTCCATTAGCTCCTGTAACAGCTCGCTGGCGAATGACTGCACGGATTATGACATGCAGTCGCATGTATCTTACTGTTCTGATAGTGTTTTTCATGATATTGAGTGTTATGAGGATACTGATGATGAGATTGATCCGTTTTCCACGGATAGTGAAGAGGATGACGCGGAGAAACTGCAGCGACAGTTGCAGCCATGTTGTAGTCAGGATTACCATCGGAGAGTGTCAATGGGGAAGCCTACGTCTCCACTGTCGACGATTTCAGATGAGTCTACGAGTACGTTGATTGGTGTATGTTGTGCTGGGACCAGTGGGAAGGATTGTGAACGTTGCCAAAGGTGTTTGCGAGATGTGGGGTATGTGGATGATGATGTAGAGGAAGAAGATGAGCAGGAGCATTCCAGTAATGTCAAATTGTGTGCGGAGGGTAGACTAAGTCGACGGACGAGTGCGTCGAGTATCACACGCGAGATGTCTACTTCTGCTACACTGGGGGCGCTCGGATCGACGTTGGAGACTCTCGAACGTAAGCGTGGCAGTTGTTGTAGTATTGAAGGTGTCCCCTCGCCGACTGGATCAGCAGTGAATAGTCCGACTGTTCAGCCGAAGCAAGTGCCGCAGATTGAAGTTGTTGATGTGGACAATGAGGGTGACACGGATGGTGTGTGGACAAAGGAGACGCTTTTCTAGCAGACGTTCAACGCGCACACGCAACGCCAACACGAAACACGTACATGAGGTGACATAACCTCAAACGCACACGCAGAGGTTAGTTTTTTTTTGTTTTTGATTTATGATGGTTTTATTGTTTCGCCATTTTGTTTTTCAAACTTTTGATGAATCAATATTTAGTTGGTTGGTGAAATTAGATCTTCGTGAAACTTTCCACTTTCTACTTTATGGAGTTAACGAAACTTTGCAGTCGATGAGCGTGCATGTTACGAGTATTCAATGTTAATGATATAGTAACATAGTAACATTCGGTCAGATCAGGTAGAGTGTATTTTAAAGTTAATCATTGTTAGCGGAAGAAAAATCTAAATTTATTTCTAGGTTGGAAACACCCACTATACATATCCAAAAGTACACACTGGGGATGTGCAATTTTAGCTCAATACCGGTATTTATAAAATTATTAATTTTTTTTAAAGAAAATTACCGGTATTGATTTAGGAAAAAATACCGGTATACCGTTATTGATACCGGCTTTTAAAAAATTATTAATTTCTTCATTTTTGCGCTAATTAATCAAAAATACCGGTTTTTAAGAAAAAAATACCGGTATACCGGTATTAATACCGGTATTTCTAACCTCTAATTTTTAATTTTTTTCATAATACCAATATTTTCAATATGTTATTGTTTTTTTTCTAATACCGGTATACCGAGATACCGGTATTGAACGAAAAATTCATATCCTCAGTACACACAACAAAAGCACTCTTCGAGGTTGAAGTACACGTACTTGTGAGTACTTGCAAGTGCTTAGACTCGACTTGACTCAGCGTAACATTGAGATGTATTGATTTGTGCACGTGCACAGTGCACAATCAGACTGATAACCTTTTTGTATTAGTTTCATACGTTTTCGGCTAGAAACCTAGCGATTTTACTTGAAATGCGCAAAAATCGAAGTATTATCTCACTAATAATCCATTTCGAACGTGGCAAGTGAAAGAACTTTAAACTATAAACAAATTGATATAAAAAACGTCAAATTAACCTTAAAAAAATATCGTATATAAATAATAAATCTTAAATTTTGTTTTTCTTGCAAATTCCGTAGTTTTTTGGTCATTCTTGTGAATTTTATGGCTTAAAATAATTTTTAAACTTATCTAGGGCCTTAAAACTGACCAATTGTTTATTTTTAATAATTGTTTTTAACTATTACACGTAAAAACTATTAAATTAAACCGTGAAACGATTTTAAAGTAATAACTAAATGGTGCCAAACAGAGAAATGTTTAAACAAGCGTAATTTACTCTAACAATGTATTAATTGTTAATTATAGTGATACTATGTGAGGGATAATGAACAGTATTCAACCAAGCAAAATCTTGACAGCCAAAAAGCGAATAAATGGAGAATTATTGCAAAATTACAGAAATTTAGCAAAGAAAAGTAGAAAAACCTAAAAAAAAACTTGTTTAAAGCTTAAAATGTTTGCTTAAAACGTTCAATTAGTTACTAATCGTGTAATCAGGGTGCGTAAAACGTAATTTTCTAGTTAGCAACTTTAGTAAATGGGCATTAAACCAGCTTTTTGTTAAAAAAAAAGAAGTAAAATATCACTTTTTAATCGCTGCGCATTTTGTGTGACTACAAAAGTTTAGTTTTTAATTAATAACTCGAAAACTAATTGGGTTATTATTATAAATTTTTGGTAATTTATTCTTAAATAAATTCTACATGAATTGTTAAAAAGATTTTGTTAATTGGACAATTACACAAAAGTTATAAACAATTAAAGTTGATTTTTGTAAGAAAAAATTAAAAAAATGACTTTAATTGTTTATAACTTTTAAACAAAAATAGTTATCAACAAAATCTTTTCACATTTCGATTCAATATATATTTAAGAATATAATCTTTAAAAAATAATTAATTTCCCATAATTAGTTTTCAAGTTATTGCCTAAAAACTAAACAAATCTCTTAAATTCAGCGTAGAAATCACAAAAACCTGCATAAATTGTTGACTTAAACCCTAGAATTTAACTAGATGATAAATAATCCTAGCGATTAAGAAAATCTATATTTTTGTGAGCAATATTTACCTTGTAATGAAACCTGTACCACTAACACACAAAGTGAACTAAACTTAAAAACTAAACTTAAACAAAAAACGTCAAGTATGGATTAATTGCGATTGTTTGTTGTATAGTGCGATTATAAAGCGTATAAACGTGAAAATTTGTAATTCTAAGTGAATGTGTAACTTGTATCGTAACGTCTACTCTTCGGAACCAAAAAAAAAAAACTCAAAATTCCACCATTTAAACACAAAAAACACAAAAAAAAAATTATTGAGCGCGTCACCCAAACACCATTTTCCTAACAAATTCGATCGAATCGTCGTTGTAATTATATTAATATTGATATGAAATGTTAAATTAATTATCTAAGCGTAAGACCCATGTGAAATGCGTGTACATAGATAACTTTAGATAGATTACTGAAATTTGTGGAGTATTTCATAAGTAATGATCTGTATATCAAAGCAAAATGGCGTCGAATCAACAAACCGACACAAGTATTAGATTAAATCTTAAACCACGAGTATTTTATGTGCGCCGTGCATAAATGCAGAGTATATAATATATTATAAATTAACGATATAGATAATTTTATTAAATATGTTACGATACGGACGCGGTTAAAGTTTAAAAGTGTTTAAAAATGAGGATTTCAACGGCGCAATGCAACCGAAATGATCGCAAATGTTGAATTTCTTTGTCTGTGTGCATTGCGACACATTAAAAAGGTATTAAATTGTGTTAATTAATGAATAAAATGCAAAGAGACAACTCTATGTATTATTTGATGTGTAAATAAATATTTAGATTAAAAATTGAGTGTATTTATGTCTTACCTTGTAGTAATCACCTTAAACATCGTCAGAATAACATTTATAACAATTAAAACTGGTTTTTTTTTATTGTTTAAAGTGGAAATAATTAGTTAAAACTTGTGAAAATGTCAAAATTGTTACGAAACTAAATTTCTGTGGTGTATTGTTGGTTGCCTATAGTAAAACATCAAATCGGAATTTAATTTCTTATAAAATTTTACTTTTCATTGTATTTTGCACCAATCCCCTAATTGTTTTATAATTAATCAAATAAAATAATGCTTTAAAAACTTAACAATAAAATACAATCAAATAATACTTAAAGCAGATCAATTTCGTATGTTTGGATGCCTACGTTAAACCGTCAATTTTCGTCCGCACAGTTCCCGCCGTTTAGTTGTTCGCCGGCAGTTGACTTCAAATCGTCCGCTGCGTGCTCGTGTTCCTGCTCGTCATCCTGATTATCGTATAATTCTGCAAGACCAGACACACCAGCTATTACCGGATGCAACCCTGTGCCATCAACGTGTAGATTGTGATTGTACTGTCCGTCAATCATTAATCCACTGCTCGTAATCTCCGTGAATGGAAAATGATGTTGCAGATCATGATTAGTAAACTGTATAAGGTGAGTTTTTGTTGCTGTAGAACTGCTTGGTAATATACCAGGCAGTGAATTGTTCACGTTGTTTACATCCGTGGGGAATTCATCGCGTTTCTTGACTTGTTTACGTTCTTTTGCGCGTCTGTTTTGAAACCATATCTTGACCTGCCGCTCTGATAAGCCGAGATTCGTCGCCAGTTCGGCTTTGCGACGTATTGTGATGTATCGACTGTAATAGAACTCTTTTTCCAGTTCGACACGTTGGTGATCGCTGTACACCACGCGGTATTTGTCTTTCGTGCGTGTTTTAACCTGCAAAAAAACAGAACAAAATTAATTTCCCGGCAAATTTTCAAATTGACAAGTGACAGGACATGGAAAATCAAGTAAGTGGTTTTGAAATATAAATATTTAATAAAGACAATTACAATTACAATCACAATCGCAATCAATGCTGTTTGTGTTTGTTTGAATGTGAATTGTTTAGTAATACAATAATGTGCTTTGTACAAATAATTTCGCGTCTGCAACCCACAATGCAGCCGTATAATGCGTGTGTAGTGTGGTGTATTGAAAGTTGCATATATACATACATCTCTTTATTAAATTACATCAATTTCAATTTCAAGTGGTAAGTAAAATAGAAAATTGCGCAAGCGTCATCGATACATTACATTATCGTCCAGATAAACTTACAAAACTGCCGTTTCATGCCGAATTAAATACATAATTAACAATAAATTGCACTTAAACTAAACAATACTTATTATAATACAGATTGCACTTGTTTTCGTTGGAAAAAAATCTCTCGCTTTTGTCATGACATTTATATATTCGGGAAATTGTTTAAAATGTTTCGATTTTTGATTTAAACCACCGCTGATTGTTGATTCTGTGGTGCGGGATTCGGTGAACTGTCATATTTGATGCCTACTTGTTCCAGTTTCACGTCATAGTCGGGATCCATTAGCGTCATTCGTGCGTTTGGTGAAAGATTCATCATTGTATGATTCTGTTGTTGTTGTTGTTGTTGTTGTTGTTGTGGAGATTGTTGATGATGTGTATGTGGATGTGTGTGTGGATGATGATGGCCGCCGCTTGGCTGCATCGCGAGTTGCCCGCAGTATTGATTCTGCAGCTGCATCTGCGCCATCTTTTGTTCGTATTGCTGTAGGTGTAGGCCGGCATTGCCGTCGTCTTTGCCCGTCTCTTCGAGGCGTTTCTTTAATTGTTTGCGTTCCTTTGCGCGCCGGTTCTGGAACCAGATCTTGATCTGACGCTCGGATAGGCCTAGATTAGCGGCGAGTTCGGTTTTTCGCCGGATTGTTATGTATTTATTGTTTAGCGTGAATTCTTTTTCGAGCTCGATGCGTTGGTAGTCGGTGTAGACGACGCGGTATTTGTCCTTGGTGCGCGTTTTGCCTATAACAGAATAAGAATTTGCAAATTTTCGCCAGCACACTCAATTTTAGGGGGTTTTGCACAACTCACTACGAAGAAATCACTACTTAGATTAAATTATATTAGAAAAGAGTTAAATATTAAATTATTTAACGTTAAAAACGCGTTTTGAAGCAAAATTGATGTTTTTTTATCAAAAAACGTGAATATTATCAAAAATATTTTATGAATAGTGTATAGCAAATTATTTTTACATAGATTATTTAATTAATAATCATTAGGAAGTAAAATATGTACAATATGTTGCGAGAAAAGTGCAGAAATTTAATATTTTGACGCTAAAACGCGTTTTCAGGCAAAAAATGAAAGTTTTTCTTCAAAAAAACGCGAATATTATCAAAAATATTGAATATAGAGCGTTGAAATAAGTATTATAGCATCGAATAATTAATTGTCATTCTTTAACTCGTTATATTTTGCGAATAAAATGCATCCAATCAGTTTTTAAACGTATTAAACGCGTTTTCTAGCAAAAAAGAATTATTTTTTTCTACGAAAAACACGAATATTATCAAAAATATTTCATGAATAGCGTTTAGAAAATTATTCTTACATAGAATAATTAATTAATAGCCACTAGGCAGTAAAATATGTAAAATATTTTACGAATAATGTGCAGAAATTTAATGTTTTAACTGTAAAACGCGTTTTCAGGCAAAAAATGAAAGTTTTTCATCGAAAAACGCGATTAGTATTGAAAATATTGAATACAGAGCGTTGGAAAAAGTATTATCGCATAGAATAATTAATTGTATTTCTTTAACTCTTTAAATATGTCTAATATTTTGCGAATAAAACGCAAAAATTCAATATTTTAACGTAAAACGAGTTTTTGAGCAAAAAACGATGTTTTTTCATCGAAAACGCGAATATTATCGAAAATATTAAATATAGAGCGTTGATCAAATTGTTTTAGCATGAAATAATGACTTGTCATTCATAAACTCGTAATATTTTGCGAACAAAATGTAAAAATTCATTTTTTAAACTTTAAAAACGCGTTTTCAAGCAAAAAATTAAAGTTTTTCCTTCAAAAAACGCGAATATTATCAACAATATTTGAAACTAAGTATTGAAAAACAATTATAACAGTTTAATAAATTCCCAATCGAATATGCAAGCCGTCCTTAAAATATTTCCGACTGCAACGCAAAAATTCGATTCACATTACGATATCCGCCGCTAATATCCGCGATTACCTCCGCTAATCGTAAATAAAAAGGTGTGCGATCTGGAGATCTGGTTTGTGTTTGAGTGTCGTCGTGTGTTTGATGTTGCATGCCGATAAGCGTGTGGCGTGTGTGGGATTAAGAGGCGGCGAGATGTGAAGCGCGGCGGTGTATTTGATGCCGCAGCGAATGAGCGAACAGAGCGCGCGTTTGTATCTGCCGTGTGATTGTGCGCAAATAGTTCCGACGCCCAAAAACGATAACACGCAGACTACAACTACACTAAACGAACGATACAGCATGTGACACGACATGACATGACATATTTTACATGCTTCCACACCTGCACAAGAAGCAAAACATTTAAAAATCATGTTAAACCATGTCTTTTGAATTTTTTCAATGAAAACAGAAGCAAAATGTTGAAAATTGAGAATTTTATGGTTTAATATTGCATATCTTCTAATATATTTGTTTGTTTTGTATTGGGTGTTGACTGGGATGGACATGTTACGATTAGTTGCGGTCTATCATGTCTAAAATGTCTTCAAAAGTCTTGAGGAGTCCCACGGTTGACGTTTCAATAAGAATAAGAACTTATTTAGCAAAAAAAAAGCTGGGCGACTTCTGTGGGCCGTAAAGATAAAATAAATATCCTCACTAAGTGTAAATGCGTGCGTTGAAATCGCCCGTTTGAGGATCTTTTGTCGAGGATTGACCATAAAGTGACCGGCGACGCTTTATGACGCGACCTGCACGCGTCCCCAATTTGCACACAACGCAAACACAAATAAAAATCAAAATATTTTACTCAAAAAAATAAATTTTAGCAAAAAATTTTTGATTTTAAATCAAAATTTGATTTGTTTTTTTGTGTTTTTCAAAACAAAACAAAATAAATAAAAAATAAAATAAAAAAAGCATCCCTTGGTGTTTGTATCACTGCAGGAAAAAAACGTTTGTGAGTGCGAAGTTGAAGTTCACAGCGCAGAGAAGGAAAAGCGCGCTGGATAATTGCCCGTGGGTAGTTTCGGAACTCCCCGAATGTTTAAGCTAACGTCCCCCTTGAGATCCATTGCGGGCAACGTTTTGTCGCTCGTTTTGCCCGCCCTCGAATCTCGGATTTAGTTATTCTTCGCCGCCAACGCGCTGTCGCTTTCCCCTACGGTTTTTCTGCCATTCTGCAGTGGCAGTTACATTTGCCAAAACAACTATCAACAAATACCTAGGTACATTTAAAGATAAAAACGTTTTTTGTGTTTTTCCCTAAAAATACGAAATTTTTGAGGTTTGGGCAATTGAAATATATTTATTGCGTCTATATAAGTTTATTACAGCCCTTCAAATAAAAATTACGTGCCGCTGCCGCCTTTGAAGATTTTAGCAACAATTTTATGCGTTTTTATTACGGGGGACACATCCCTTCTGGTCAGCGTTTACAACTTTAACCCAAATTGAGTACATTTCGGCTAATCCATCACGTTTATTACGTTTCTAGGGCTTGTAAGTTGTAAACGCCTCGCCGGGGGTTGTAAAATATTTGTTGTTATATTGTTAAATGGATTATACCTGCGCAAAATGCACAAATTATTCTTTGAGTCCGCACCGACTAATTCTCGAAATTTTTGATTTAAAAATAGAATTAATTTGGAATTAATTAATTAACGATCCAGCGGTAATAAAACGTGTCTTTCTCTTTTCATATATTTTTTTTTTTTGGTGATCCAAGATGGCCTCGTCTGCAATTCGTAATGTTATAAAACTAGCGTTGTAAATCAAGCGGCTTCAACATTTTCTACCTCCCGGCTGAAATAAAACGAAATAAAAACCGCGATGGCAATCATCAAATGCGCCGCGCTGGGGCGGGCAGCAATGGCGTAACTGCTTAATGGCAGCGACGTGTAAAAAGCCCGAAAAAATTAAAAAGCGTAATTAACGTCCTTCGCTGGGCTGCGCAGTGCTGCGCGCGCGCGCTTTTGTTGGCGATTTACAACCCGACGGCCGTAAAAAAAAACAACAAACGGCGGCGGACACACGTTCTTTCGACATTTTTCACATCGCGCACGATAATGTTGATACTGAATTAATTAGTGCGGCATTAACTGCTCGCGCTCGCGCGTTTACAGCATTAACAGCAATAAAAGCAATAAAATTCGGCCGCGGAGCGCGCGGTTTCTCCCGACAAAGTCTATCAAGATACGTTTGGTTCTAGCCGTGCGCACGGACCGGAAAATGATGAAAAATACGGCTAAAGGCGTGGAGTTAGAGGTAATAAACATTCTTTTGGAGGGTACCTTCAAAATGGCGGGCGTAGTACAATACTACTATAAAAATTATCTCAAGAATCTTGTTCTTGTTTTGTATCGAAAAAGGAGGAAATTTTAGTGGAAAAATATTCAAAATGGCGGTGGTAACATTAAAATATAAGAAAATTAATTGAAGGTACCCCCACATGATATTTTTATGCATAATTTTATATTTTTAGGGATAAAAACTTTTGTAAAAGTAATTATTGTGTTTTTTTTTTTTCAAAAAATAGGTTTTTGGGTATTCTAGGCGCCAGTTTTTAGGAGGGTACCTTCAAAATCTGGACCGAAGTATAATACACCAAGAAATATCTCAGGAATAATTTTTTCCGCCGAAAATCAACGAAATAATGCAAAAAAAGTGATGGTATGGATGAAAAATGTAAAAAATCATTCTTAGGTGGGTACCATCAAAGTGGCAACCATAATTTTTACTTAAATAATGCCTGGTAATGATTTATTTGCGTAGAACTGTTTAATTTTCAGGAAGAAACACGTTTATCGTTATTTTGTGTGTTTAGGCATTCTAGGCGCCATTTATTAAGAGGGTACCTTCAAAATTCTGGCCCGAAGTACAATACCTCAAGAAATATCTCAGGAATATTTTTTTACCTCCAAAAATCATCAAAATATTGCAAAAAATTGAAGGTATGTATGAAAATGACAAAAAAATCATTCTCAAGTGGGTACCTTCAAAGCGGAAATCATAATTTTTGTGAAACTGTTTAATTTTCAGGAAGAAACACGTTTATATCGTCAATTTGTGTGTTTTTTTTTTGTCAAAAAATGAGTTTAAGCATTTTAGACGCCATTTTTGAAGAGGGTACCTTCAAAATCCTATACCGTATAAGTATAATACCTCAAGAAATATCTCAGGAATAATTTTTTACCTCCAAAAATCATCGAAATATTACAAAAAAATTGATGGTATGTATGAAAAAGACAAAAAGGCATCATTCTTCGGTGGGTACCATCAAAATCTTTACTGAAATGACACTGCCTCATGATATATTTATGAATAACTGTCCTATTTTCACAATGACACCATTGTATAATTAACTCTTGTGTGATTAATCATTTTGCAAAAAAAGTGTAGCAACAAAGCGCTTTGTGTTCCTGGTAGGCAGGCAGTGAACCGTCGGAACCGTGTAGAAACGTATAAATATTACCGACGCACATCAAACACCAACACAATCATCATCACCATCTCAATCAACAAACAAAACGCAAGTAAAACTAGCAAGAAACAAAAGGTTTAGAATGAAATTTCGTACCGTTCTCGCTAACATCGTCGGCAATTGGCAGATCATGGCCGACAATGTGTTCTAGAAGCAATGGTTTCATTGATTCTAGAATGAAACAACGTTTTTCAGTTTTTCGCCCCAAATTTATGTTAATTACATGCAATACTAATCTACTACTATAAATATTTCTATAAATGATAATTCTCCAACTTACCAGGATTAGGTTGACTCTGATACGATGGTTTATTCATCCAGTCATAGGGACTCCGTGCCGGCGCAGGTCTTGTCTTTGCCGACGGATTCGGCGGCGTCACACTGCCGCCAGCACCACCGGGCGACGACAACTCCGATCCGGAAACAGTAATCGGCGGCGACGGCAGCTGATTCTCCGGTAAGTCTAACTGCTGATGATGGTGTGGCATACCAGCATGTCCAGCATGCGTGTGTGTGAACTCATGACTACCAAAATCTGAGTGAAACGCCGCCGCCACCGCGGAATGATGCGCTGAATGCCACATTTGTTGCTCATCTTGCATGCAATACGAAGGCGCTGTGGGCGCACCAGCAACTTGTGCACTTGTCTGATGATGGTACCCGCCCGGGTACCATGAATGTGGATGCATGGTATTCGCGGCGTGATGGTGGAATGCGGCGCCGGTTTGGGCGGCGGCGGCGGCCGCTTGGTGTTGGTGTCTGTACATCGCCGCCGTTGGGTAGTAGGATACCATGCTCATAATGTCCGAATGTTGATAACACCACTACACCTAACACTTTTGCACTGAATGTTTTGTTTTGTTGCACTTTGTTTTAATTTATCACACTGTGACGTACACCCGCCGGTCGACAAGCTCCGAATGATGATTGTTTACCTTACTGGCTGGTATTTAATATCTCTAGGGGCGATGGCGTAGGCGCCGCGCGTGGTGGCACTCGGAACACGTGAAGTGGGGGTGGATGCGACCAATCGGCATCGCGGCGCTGGGTTATGGCCGCGTTTCAAGTGCACCGCCAATGGTCGCATGGCCCAATCTACACACAAATGTGGAAATGTGGTACGCACGCCTAAAAAACACGTTTTACACACTGGAAACACAAAAATTCAAATTTAAAAAAAAAAAAAATTTTCACAAAATTTTTTTATTTTTATGCAAAATTAAGGGAAATTTTACAAATTTTACAAAATTTGGTACCCGTAGGGAATTCCACGTACTGCGCCCTTGATTCCATTGCCAACCCCCCCGCCTGGGGTTGACGCGTCGTGTAATTACCATTCAATTGCTCCGCAACTACTTACTACTTCATCTTATTATCACAACGATAATAAATCGGTGCCGAGTTTACCTTCCACGCCTCGAGCGCGTAAATTTGCAGCCGGTAAACTCGCCGATGGTGATCCCAAGCAGTTTGTAATCTCGTTAAACGCGACATGGTGTCGGGTTCCAGGTAGGTGTAATAGCTGGATAGGTGCGGGACGGACCTTTTGTTGCCTGGTATTAATTTTATATTTTTGCGCTGCGGGCGAGACGCCTAAATGGATTAGCCGCTGCGGCTCGTTCGTAAATTTGTCGTGTCTATGAAATTTTCTAATTTCTTAAATGGGATTACATCAATATTATCATAACAATCGTAAAATGAAATTTTCGGTAGTTTTAATCCAATCAAAATTATTACTTTTATTCAACTACTTGAAATTATTTGGTTTATTTCATTGATATTTAGGTTTTTTTTAATCAAATTTTGATTGGTTATAATTTTTGATATAATAATAATATTAAGTCAATTTTTGCAGAATATGACGTGGAATTTAATTTTGAGTTAATTTCTGAAGGGATAATTGGGTTTTGGGAAATAGTTTATGAATTATTTAATATTTATTGTTAGAAACTCGAAAGAAATTGATTTAAATCGATATAGTTGTGGTTTTAATTAGTTTTTTATTAATTGCTTCAAAAGTAATTAATTTTCCATAAATATTATTTTAGGGATTTGTTTAGGATTAAATTATGAACTGTTTTGTGAAATATTGTGTTGGTAAAATGTTTTGTTTATAAGTTATAAACAAATTAGTGTGGATTTTATATATTTTTTAAAATTCTATTTTAATTGTTCATAACTTTTGATAAAATACTGAAATCAATTCAGTCTTAGCAGAATATGACGTAGAATTTAATTCTGCATTAACTTCTGAAAGAATAACTGTGATTTTTTTAATAGTTCATGAATTATTTAATATTTATTGTTAGAAACGTAAAAGAAATCGATTTAAAACGGTATAGTCGTGGTTTTAATTAGTTTTTTATTATTTGGTTCAAAAGTAATTAATTTTCCGCAATTATTAATTTAGGGATTTGTTCAGGATTATATTTTGAATATTTTTGTATAATATTTTGTTGATAACTGTTTTTGTTTATAAGTTATAAGCAAATTAGTGTGGATTTTAAATATTTTTTAAAATCTAAATTTAATTGTTTATAACTTTTGATTAAAAAATATTATCAACACAATTTTTGCTGAATATTACGTAGAATTTAATTGTGAATCATCTTTTGAAAGAATTACTGACATAACTCAAATAGTTCATGAGTTATTTATCAATTACTATAAAAAAACATTTTAAGAAACTTAAAAACTCTATAAAACTTAACTTTAAAATAAATTAACTCTATAAGTTTAGTATATTAAATACTCAAAAGTATTTATTCTATTCCATTGATATTTACAGAAAAAAAAACTTTTTGGAAGTTCCAAAGCGGTAAACATGACAAATGTATCGTTGTTGCGGTGCGTTTGAAGTTTGCGTACCGTCGCATTGTCTGATGTGTTCAAAATGTACAAAACCCGGCGATCACTCACTCAAAGCATGACAAATCGCTTCAAGTCGCAAAGTCCAAACATTTTCACAAGTTTTCACAATAATTTGACTTACCCTAAGGTATAAATTGAGACATCACCTTCAAAAACTTCTTCATACCTATTATTTTCATTTAATTCTGAATAATCTGCTTAAAATTATCTAAATTAAAGTTGGATAACCGCATATTACGTCGCGTCGGTTTGTTTCATTTTCTATTTGATGGGATTATCTCATGATGAAAGAAATTCGTGCTTTGTATGCCGGCCATTTTGTTTATGACAGGATGTGAACCAATGAAGCAGTGAATTCTCACTCAATTAAAACAATAAGAATTTAGTCAATGACTTTTTGCAAAAAAAATTATTTCAAGACGTAAAATTAACAAAATTAAATTATTTTGAGTTTTAAAGGAAAAAAAATTAAGTTTTTTTTAGTGGAAAATATATTTTAGACTATAAATAATCACATAAGAGTAATAACAATTAGAGATTTAACAAAATGGCAATTTACAGGCACGTTTTATGCGCGAATGATGATAACTTTGCTCATATAATTGTCAAATGACATTCTTTGCAAGTAATAACTACTGTCACCGGTAATTTATTTGTAATTTGTTAATTGTCCGCCATGCGCTCTTAAAACAATTACCTTTTATTAGATATACGCGCGGTTTACTACATTCCACGCCCGCCGCGCGCATGAATGGAAATCAGGTGTGAATTATTATAACACACACGCTTAATTATTAATAAATCATATATGCTTATAAATATTAATTGTTGTAAACCGATGCGGCCTAAAACACACACTGGGCTGACAAGGGAATTACTTGCGGTGTGTGTGCACGTTGAAATATGTGCAATATAAATTAAATTTAAAGAACACGCGGGGGAATTATTTAATTGTTTATAATCTTAAAGAAAATGTGCGCGATTTAAGTCATTTAAGTTATTTCTCAATCTGTTTGTGTAGGTTTTATAAGATTTGGGGAGTAATTTACAATGTGGGCGTGTTTTTTTTTATGAAAAAATGCAGGAAAACATTTTTTTAAATAATTTTATGTTTTTATGCAAAATATATATTACATAAAATTAAGTTTTGGATATTTTTGGCTAATATTTTGTTGATAGGTGTATTTGTTTATTAGTTATGGACCAATTCGTCTGAGTTTTATATATTTTTATAAATTCAACTTTGATTGTTTATAACTTTTGATACAATATCATTATCAACTTAATTTTTACAGAATATGACGTAGAATTTAATTCTGAATAAACTTCTGAAGGTATTTTAATAATTCCTGAAATTGTTTATGAATTATTCAACATTTAATGTTTAAAACCGTGGAAGAAATCGACTTGAAACGGTGTAGTTGTGGTTTTAATTAGATTTGTATTGATTGCTTCGAAAGTAATTAATTTTCAACAATTATTCTTTCAGAAATTTGTTTCTGATTAAATTTTGAATATTTTTGTTTAATATTTTGTTGATATCACTTTTTGTTTATAAGTTATAAACAAATTTGTGGGGATTTTATATATTTTTTACAAATCCAACTTAAATTGTTTATAACTTTTGATACAACAATATTATTAACACACTTTTTGCACAATAAGATGTAGAATTTAATTCTTTATTAACTTCTGAAGGAATTTTATCGGTTCTTTACATGGTTTATGAATTATTTAACATTTTATGTTAAAAACGCGAAAGAAATCGACTTAAAACGGCATTGTTGTGGTTTTAATTAGTTTTTTATTGATTACTTCAAAAGTAATTAACTTTTTGCAATTATTATTTAAAAAATTATTTAATATTAAATTTTGAATATGTTTCTCTAATATTTTGTTGATAGCACTACTTGTTTATAAATTATATACAAATTTGTGTGGATTTTATAAATTTTTATAAATTCAACTTTATTTGTTAATAACTTTTGTTACAACAATACTATCAACACAATTTTTACAGAATCCGACGCAGAATTTAATTCTACACAAACTACTAAAAGAATTAAAATGATTTCTCAAATAGTTTAAGAGTTATTCAAGATTTTCCGTCAAAAACACAAAAGAATTCGCAATAAAACAGCATAATTCTAGTTTCAACTAGTTTTTCTTATAAATTCCATCAAAATATTGAATATTTTCGAAATGTGATCGCTGAATTTCCATCTTCTGAGCGTCGGAAGATTGCTTTTATTGGACGTGTGCAACAAGTCCGTGCGTTGCAGCAGCAGAGGCGCAGAGACCGCAACCTGACGGATGGGACAAAACTTTTTCATGGAAATGATCAATATGCGTACGGAGCGACGGGCGTCGTATGACGTCGTAAAGCGCGGACGTATCTGGGTACCTAGGTTCTTGTAAAGTGCATTATTTCGTGCATCGTGCGCGCGAGGGTGGCGGCGGCCGCGCTTAGATCTTCTTTTCGGAATGGTCCAACCGTAGGTAGTAAATTATTTTATTACGGGGTGGTTCAAACCGTGCTACGCGCAAATATTGATTCATTTTGGGTAAGTATATTAACTCAGTTTGTATATTTATTCAAATTGATTCATTACAGGTTATTTTCGAGTGAAAACTGGAGAAGAAATTCGAAAAATTTTAATTCAAGAGTTTGGTTAGTGTTTTGCTGTTGGAAAATACATTTTACGCCTGAAATTCTGCAACCAATTATACACCAGAGGAGAAAACGAAGCCAACATTAATTTTACATCAAATTTTCTTTGTTTTTCAGCTAATATCACGTAAAATATTGCTTAAAAGTGCAAAATTTTTGATTTTTTCCAAAATTTTGGATGAAAAACTAAAATTTTTATTTTTTCCGACAATTATTTTAATAGGTACCTGATATTTTAACGTGTTACAACATTGTGCTACGCGTTGCATGCAAACACCGAGTGATAATGTTATCTTTCCACGGCGGGGGTTATCTCGGTTTTTTTCTTGTGTCTCTTGCGTTTTGCTTCCACGAAGCGAGCATGATGT